TGTGGTGAGGTTAAGGCCAGCCTGGGATACATAGTGAAACCCTGTTTCTAAAAATAAAACTCAGAAGAATCAATAAACAACTGATTGGAATAAAGATATATCCATTAGTGAGTAGATGGATATTCTCAGTTTACCTGTAAAACCATCATATAGAGTAAAATCTGAGCCTGGGTAAGGTCGGAAGATAAACACTTTGACTACTAGGTATGGCGGATGGCCCAGGGAAGCCCTAGCTTCCACCGGTCTTCAGCTGCTGATGTCTACTTGTGACTCTGAAAGTCTGGGTCTGCTTCTGAGCATTGTACCTCTGTCCTCGAAGGATGAGGATGGCTCGTGTCTCTAGGCCCTCATATAGGACATATTCTTGAAGGAAGAACCATAGAGAGGTATTGTGAGAAATGAAAACAAAGCAAAATTTGCAGTGTTTAATAGTTAGAGAAGGCTCAGTGGTTAAGAGCACTCTCTGCTCTTACAGAGGACTTGGGTTCAGGTTGGGTTTCTAGTACCACATTGTGGTTCACAGCCATCCATACCTTAGTTCCAAAGTATTCAATGCCCTCTTCTAACCTCTGTGGGCACTAGGCACACATGGTGCACAGACATAAACGAAAGCAAAACAGTCAAAAGGGTAAACAAAAATAAACCTTGAAGGATCTTAATAAAGAGACTACATGTAATGTTCTGTATTTTACAGTGTAGTGTTGATGTTAGTAAGAGCTTAGTGTGGGAACTGTAAGACCAAGGGCAGTGCAAGCCTTAAAACACTGCTCATGTTTTCTCCCAACAGGGTCACCTCTCTCTAGTCAGCCCGTCTTAATCACTGTCCAACGGCAGCTACCCCCGGCCATTAAGCCTGTCACCTACACTGTTGCAACCCCAGTGACCACATCCACCTCTCAGCCACCTGTGGTGCAGACGGTACACGTTGTCCATCAGATACCAGCAGTGTCAGTCACTAGTGTGGCTGGACTGGCCCCAGCAAACACATACACAGTTGCTGGACAAGCTGTGGTCACTCAGGCTGCGGTGCTGGCTCCTCCTAAGGCAGAACCGCAAGAGAATGGCGACCACAGAGAAGTCAAAGGTGAGCAAGGAGACAGAAGGCTCAGTTGTCCTGGCCTGTTTTAATATGTTCCTTGGTTTTTGTGTGTTTGTTTCTTTACTTCGTTTTTGGGGGTGGCAAGTGCTAGAAATTGGGTCCACGGACATCCTAGGAAACTAGGCTACATCCCTAACCCACTGTTACTTGGTTTTAAAGATCTCATTTTTATTTATTTATTGCTTTTGGTGTGTGTGTGTGTGTGTGTGTGTGCGTGCTTGTGCACATGAATCCAGGTATCCTTGGAGATCAGAGGTCCTCTTAGAACTAGAGTTATTGACCAACATGGGTGCTGGAAATCAAAACCAGATCCTCTATGGAAGTAGTGTGTGCTCTCAGACATGGGGCCATCTCTCCATCCCATTACTTGTTTTTAAACAGTTTTGCAGTACTAGGTGACAAACCTAGACCCTTGTACAGATGTCAGTCAAGTGCTCTGTGGCTAAGCTATGCCCCAGTTTAACTTGCAGTCTTGTCCTACCCTGGACAGTATCTGGGGTGGCCATCCTGTGACACCCATATTGGAATTAGGCTCGCCATCGTGACTTGTTTGTAAACTGCTGTGACCTCAGCTTTGCAGCAGTATTTATTTCATCTCTTCCTTTCTTTTGATTCCAGTGAAAGTAGAGCCTGTCCCTGCAATTAGCCCAGCCACACTAGGCGCTGCCAGCCGAATCATCCAGACATCACAGGGAGCCCCTGTTCAGACGGTGACCATAGTACAACAGGCACCTTTAGGTCAACACCAGCTTCCAATAAAAACTGTAACGCAAAATGGAACTCATGTGGTACCAACGCCTACAGCAGTGCACAGCCAGGTGAACAACGGTAAGCATTTGTTCGTGGCCCTCCCTGGCTCTCTGGGAGTTTCAGCTGGGAGCAGAGGTTCTGAACTCGTGGAAATAAGCATTCCATGTTTGGTTCTAATTTGACTTTGTATTTTTGTCTATAGAAACGTTTGAGTTTTGAAGCCATTTTATTTTCATTTATTTATTTTTATTTTGTGTGTATGGGTATTTTGCCTGTATGTACTTCTGGGTACTACATTCATCCAGTGCCCAAGTAGGCCAGAAAAGGGTGTCAGATCCCCGGAACTAGTTGCAGACAGTTGTTAGCTGCCTTGTGGGTGTTGGGGATTGAAGATGGTTTCTCTCAAAGGGCAGCCAGTGTTCTTAACCACTGAGTCATGGAGGTGAGAGGTGCTGGGTCCCCTGGGACTGGAATTATAGATGGTTGTGAGCCATCATATGGGTGCTAAGAATTGAGCTTCAATCTTCTGGAAGGGCAGCCAGTGCTCTTAACCACTGAGCCATCTGCCAACCATAGAAAGTAAGCTTTATTTTTTCAGTTAGTAATTTTGTGGTACTGGGGATTGAACATTCCAAGTAAGAACTGTATCACTGAGCTATATCCTCAGGCAACCTCTTTTTAAAATTTTTGAGATAGGGTCTCTGTAGCCTGATTGGCCTAGAACTTGCTATGTAGACCAGCTGGCCTTGAACTTAAAGAAATCCACCTCACTGGAGCCTGAGTGCCAGAATTAAAGATGTACACCACTAAACCCAGCATTTATGCACATTTTAAGATGAATAAATGGAGCTCTGTGTACTTCCAAGACTAAATGTGGACCCCATGCTCCTACCCAACCTGCTGCTTCCTTTACCCTGAAGCAAAGGGATTCTTTTCAGAATGCACTGATGTTGTTTCCATGAGGTCACCCTGTCTGAGTCTCTAGCCACCTGTTGCCCAGGCTGTGAGCCGTGTACCTGCCTCCTCCAGGCTGTGCTTGTACACTACTGCTTTCTGTGGCTGGACTGAAGAATGTCTCACTGGTCTGTCATGGTTCTCAAAATTACTAATTGTACTTAAACTATAATAGTATCCAACACTAGAGAATCCATAAAGAGCACAGAATTACTGGCTCCTAGGGGTTTTGGCCAGTTCAATATCAAGGCTCCACCTACCATTGAAGACCTTCCTGCTGACGTGTCAGAAGGCAGGATTGCAGGTTGTGGTTTGTTTGTTTGGCTGGTTTTTGTTGTTGTTATTGTTTTCTTGAGACAGGGTTTCTCTGTAGCCCTGGCTGTCCTGGAACTCACTCTGTAGACCAGGCTGGGCTGGAACTCAGATCCACCTGCCTCTCCCTCCCAAGTACTGGGGTTAAAGGTGTGCGCCACCACAGCCTGGCCAGCCAGGTGTTTTGTTTTGTTTTGTTTTAAATAATGCAGGCAGTCTCTCATAATGTGTCACTCACTGAGAGATTAGTCCTCATGTGAAAGTCCTGCCTTGTGCTGTTGCAGTGGCTGTGACTGAAGCAGCAGCTGTAACATTGTGTCCTGCATTGGTGCTCCAGGACACTTCCCAGATACATGTATTTGTGTGTGCACATCTTTTTCCAGTTAACCCTCTGTGGTCTATCTGCAAACCCTCGCAAGAGGTGGGGGTGCAGTGAGAGCCAGCGCAGAAATTCCTGCTCTTTGCACAGTGCTCCCAGTTTCAAAGACTTGAGTTGGGTGGGGAGGCTCTCCTGCTAATGTTGGATTCATGTCTTCTTTTTTCTCACAGCTCAGGGAGTGGCAGGGCAGAATCTTTGTGGGAGCCAGGAAGACCACCTCGGACTTGAGGCTGTGGACTCATGATTTGAGTTCCAAGACAGGCTGGAGATAGCCTGGGCTTGAGGATGCCTAGGGCACAAGCCCAGGCCCTCAGTGCTTCCGTCCTGCACACTTTAGGGACGATTAGGCAGCTTGCCAAGCTCTGGGTTTATTACATCAGGAAGAGCTGGAAAGGGTGGCTAGTGTTTTCTCCTTGGCAGCTTGATGACAGGGCTGCCACTGATCATCGGATATGCCTTCCCCAGACTTTAACCTGTGTTCCCAAGGTCCCATGGCAGCTCATGCTGCATGTGCAATGGGGTAGGGCTGTAACAGAGCTTGGCTAGCACATAACCCTGTGGGTTCCACCCTAGCCTTAAACAAGTAATAAAAACAACCAGGCTGTGTGTGTGACGGGAGCAGGGTCTTCACTTCTTTGCAGCTGTGTTCATGCTTAATCATATTTAACTGGTGTCTGTGGAGCCATGGTGCTCTGCTCTAAAGTGTCTGTACCTGAGCTGGAGGACAGGGTTCTTTCCCTCCCTAGGCAGTAAGCTGCTCTGAAGTTAGGCAGCTGGTGTACTCTTCCTGGGTTGTGTAGCTTGCTTCTTGTTCCCTGGTGGATTGCTGCAGTGTAAGGGCTAAGTGGATGGAGCAGGACTCTGTCTTCACTGAGAGTCCTCAGTCTTGTTCTTCAGTTAATGTCGTGAGACCCATCTAGGTTGGTGGGTAATGTACTTTGTTCAGTGTTTATCTCCTATAGACAATAGGTCATTCTGATGCCTAGGTTCTGTGGTTCATTAAGAGAAGTTGACACACATGACTGCCTGCTGCTTCAGCTCCAAGTTTAGCCTTTAAAACAGTGCTGGGTTGCTGTTGCACTCCTTTAATTCTGGCACTCTGGGGCCAGAGGGAGGCAGATCTCTGAGTTCCAGGGCAGCCAAAGCTACATAGTGAGACTATCAAAAAAGAAAAAAAAAAAAAAAAAGAGGGGGGGTGGAGGAGCTGTGGCAATCTCCTGGAGGTGTGTTCCCCCCAAAGACACTTTTTGTATGCAGGGGAGAGGTACACATGCAGGTCAGAGGGCAAATGTGGGTGGGGATCAGTTTTCCCTTTCCACCATGTATGTTCTGAGTATGGAAATCAGGTTCTCAGGTGTGGTGGCAAGTTCTAAGTTACCTTGCTAGTGTAAGCATATCTTCTTTACAGACAAATGCTTTAGATGCTGGCTTGAACATGTGAGAAAAAGCTCTTGTTCCTTCCAAGGAGGAAATAGAATAACTATTTCCTCCTTGGAAGGAACAGCTTTCTGTCCTCCAGGTGAATAGAAGCCACTCTGTCTTGATAACACTGAGCTCTTGAGTAGCTTGTGCGTTTTTAGAAGCTACAAGTTATCCTTGTTATGGAAATACCCACTAGCCAGGTTTTGCCTGCCGCACGTCTCCCAATTTCCTCTGCTCAGGCTCCGCTGCCTTTGGCCTGCAGGGCCATCCTTGGGGTTCTGTACAAGGCTCAGGAGACTTGGAGTGCCAGGGTGGGCTTTGTTGTCAAGCATTTATGCAATAGCATGGGGTTCTGATCCACTGTCTCCTCTTCAGCAGTTGCGAGTCCTCTCCATATGTTGGCAACCCATGCATCAGCATCAGCATCCCTGCCCACAAAGCGCCAGAATGGCGACCAGGCAGAGCAGCCGGAGCTCAAGCGAATTAAAGCAGAAGATTGCTAGAAAATAGTCATTGCCCTGAGCATGGATGCACCACCAGCAGCTATGAGAGAAAAGGGGATCCAGAACTAGCTGCTGGGAGACCTTTTCTTCAGACGTCAACTTTGTGGTGCCAAAAGGAGATGCTGCCTCTTACTGAAGCAGGGAGCGTATCCTCAGTGGGTAAAGGGCCCTGCGGTTGGACTTCACCTCTTAGCACTGAAAACACGAACCCAGGTGGCCTTAAAACTCCTTAATTTAAAGACAAGTTACACTTGAACAGACCCACAACAGCAACCCTGGTTCCAGAGGTGGTGTCTCCTACAGAGCACTCGCTGGGCTGTGGGCTCAGCTTTTACTACAAGCAAGAACTCCAGGTCACAAAGGACTGAATCTCTTGTGTGGATGCAGCACCTGTTGCAAGTGGATCTCTCTGGCTTTCCTTAGGGGACAGAGCCACAGCCACCTGCTGCCCTCATAGGACCTGCTGGCTGCGACTGAGAGACAAGACAGTATTTTGTTGTCCACATGTGGAATTAGAGTACTTGGAGATGTCCTTTCTTAGCTAAATAATGGGGTCTTTGACATTTCATTTCACTCCATTTCTACTCTGGAAATTTGAGATTCATTTGGGGGAAAGAATGTCATTCTGTTTGTTTCTGTGGTTTGTTTTCAGCCCATGGGATGGTTTGCTCTAGTCTTTCCTGCCTGTGTTTGGGTGGCACTCTCTTAGGACACCTACTTGCCCATTTCTGTTCAGAGCAGTTACTGATGAATTTGACCTGCCCTGTAGAGGGTGGGTGGACTGAGGCTGCATGGATCCATGAGGCCAGGGGCATCGGGACAAGGGACCCCTTCTGGCCTCTGGGCTGCGCGTACCTGCTCTTGTGGGTTTTGTTGTCTGTTTCTTTATGTTGACTTTGTCCTTGGCGTAATTTCCCACGCTAGTAAAATGAGTCTCCTACATATTGTGTATGCTTAAAGCAACAGATCCCTTTGTCCCTCCCTTGGGAAACAGATCCAGGCTTTTGTCACACCTTTTCAGACCAAGGTCATAGATCTCTCCCAGAACCTGGGGAGTCTTAGGGGTCAGCTCTGGCTTCTGACATCTGACTGGTTATCTGCATGGCACACTCATGGCAAGAGCTGTCGAGATGTTGCCAGTTAACTTGAGGGTCTGGAAGACCCACCAGCCAAGTATCAAGCATCCAGGCCATTTTTCTGATTCTCAAGAGGTTTTTCTGGCTTTTCAGAATGAAGTCCCACACTAAGTCTGACTTATATCATATAGTAAGTAAAGTTTAAGAGGGAAGGGTGAGGAGAGGTGGGAGGCCAGCAGCCCAGCCCACACTCAGGATCACCGCTCACCTTTCCAGAGCATTCTGGACTTAAGAGCTGAGCAGCAGGAAGAGGGCATTAGCCTCATTGTGAGTTTGTTTGTTTTTTTAATGTCATCATCATAACATTATTTATTTAAATGTAATTATTTTGGTATTTAATTTTTTAAGAGAGGGGGAAAACCCTATATTTTCCTGGTAGAATGAAATGGCTCAGAATGTTATATTTAGGCAATTTAAAACATTATTTACATAAAGACCAAATATGATAAGTCTGTTCTAAGTATTGCTTCACCCACAGTATGGAGCTGTCACAATGCTATTGCAGATGATGCGTGTTGACGTTATGGACACACAAGCTGGATTTATATAACTCAGCCACTTAAACAATAAAGGTGAGACATCACATGAGTGAGAACATGTGTGTACCCACAGCAGTCTGCCTTTGGACTGCAGCCTGGGGGACTGGAGCCCCTCCAAGCGGCAGTCTGCCTCCTTTACCATCTTGCAGGTAACCTTGGAATGTGTATTTCTTAAAGGTTTGTAATTTGCAAAGTACTTTGGGTTGTATTGTGCCCAGCATGTAGGTCCATACGGGCCTCAGTTCATGTGGTACTCTAGCAGGAGACCACCCTGGTGGGGTGGGCTCAGGTACTACCAACTGAACACACTGTGTGTCTGGAGACATGTGTGTGTAGCATGCTTGACCAGGACTTGGGTAGAAGTTCCCTATGTGAGTGAAGTCTGCAGACTCGTTACCTCTGAGCTCCAAACAGACCTTCTGAGTCTGCAGGGGTTTCTTTTAGCGGATCATAGAAAAATTTTGAAGATGGAAGGAGGATTTTCTTTTTTAAGGCCACACTCTCAGTTTCAAGTGAGTGAAGTGAGCCTGTGCAGCCACAGGCACACACTCCTCTTTTCTCCTTGCTGCTGTATCGGCCTTGCTGCTGCTTTGGTGCATAGGAATGTAAGCTGTCAAGGAGAGGGCAGAAGCTAAGTTGTAGATGAACAGAGTACTGTTTCTTCGGTGTTGAAGGCACTGCTTTAGTTTATGTTCATCTTGAGTTTCCAGAAGGCCCTCTGCACACCAGGGCTGGACTCATGTGCTTTAGCCCCCAACAGTTGTCTCATGTGGGGACATATATGACCCTGATACTATAAGTAGCTTGCAGCAGTTCCCAGGTTCACTGTGGCATCTCAGTGTTGAATGCTTAAGGAGTCTCTCTTTGACCTTTACCAAACTTCTGAGCTCCCTCAGGGACTAGATAACTTCAGTAGCTTTGGCTTGAACCACACAGAACACAAAGGGAAACTTACCTGTGTCCTGGGTACAGTGCATTCCAGAATGTGTGTGGCGTGCTTTGTGTAGATATTCCCCACACTACAGAATGTGTGCACAGACAGCAGCTGGTTTCCGTAAATACCCCACCCTAATTCCTTGTCCTCTGCTGGGGGGCTGGTCACAGAGTAGCTTCAGTAGTTCAGAAGGGGTTGGGGAGCATCAGGACTTGGGTTTTCTATGCCATGTGACACAAGGAGAGAACTGACAATCGTAAGTCCAAGCATCTGCTGTTCCAGAGTAAGCAGAAGTGGTGATCTGTGTGCAAAGATTTGGAATTTTTAACAAGTACCAAGTTCCTGAAATTCAATAAAATATTTTTATTAATTTTAATTGGATACAGAGTATCATTGTCTTTTGATAAGTAGACATATCTATCTTCTTAGCTTGTGCTGGGGAGACTTTACCTGGACAGCAGCACAGGCTTCCTCAGGGGTGAGAGCAGTGTCTTCATGATAGCTACAGCTGGACAGGCAGCTGTGTGGTATCCAATGTTGGGGTTTCCTTATGTTAGAGTTTAAGAGATTTAAGTTGTGGTTGTTAGTGTGCCCCCCCCTCCCCAGTGCTTGCCCTTTGGCCTAAGGATCAAGGTATTGAAAACAAGAAATAGTGAAATAAAATGTTTGCCAAAAAGGTATACAGATGCTGAGATTATGATGTGATGATCTCCCAGTTGCTGTCCCAGGGCTGAAAGAGTAGGTTGGGGAATGCATGATCCAAGCCAGGAGAACTTAAAGTAAGGTGACAGTGTCCTGATCTATACCTGGGCAGTCGGTGTATGTACTAGAAACCCTTACACATGGGCAGCATCCTGAGAATGTGCTCCCATACAGGCGACAGTAGAAGCCCACAATGCTCTGGTAAGCAGTGGCATTAGCAACATTGAGGATTTAGGACCTTGGCAAGGAATTGGGAGGGTTGGTTGGTAAAATGTTTGCCTTGCATGCACAAGTCTGGATTTGATCCACAGAACTTCACACATAGAGGTGATAATCCTGTAATCCTAGCCCTCAGAAGGTACAGGCAGGACAATCAGAAACTGAAGGTCATCCTTGACTTCATAGCACGTTTGAAGCCATTCTAGGCTACGTGAGACCTGCTCAAGGGGGTGGGGTGGGATATGGGATGCTGGCTGGTGGGGTCCAATTATGTTTCCTGTTGCCCCTTTGTCTTTCTGTTAAGGCTCCAACCTGAACCAGTTGTGTACAGGAGGCCAAAACCTGAGTCTTAACAAATGGCAGAAACAGAGTGCCTGGGAGATAATCTGGGGATACCAACATGCACAGGGAGTTAGAGATCCCCTGTAATACTGCACCCCACAATTATCTGCAGCCATCAGGGCAAAACTGACCTGAAGGATCTGTGAACTGTCCAAGCAGTGCATACAGCTCAGGACAGGCTGGGAGAACCCCTCCCACACACAAACATAGGTGTGGCTACACAAGGTCTGTTTTGCTAAAGTAAAGCACAAATGACCAAAGAAAGCTCAAAACTGAAAGAGGACAGCTATCAGCGCCAATATGACCTGAATGTACATAAAAACAGATCTGAGTTCTACAGAAAGTTTAAGGACAGCTAGGGTGGTTACACAGAGAAACCCTATCTCGAAAAACCAAAAGGAACTGGATGTGGTCATGTCCATAGCTAGAGACTACTCAACTTAGCTCCATGGAAGACCACAGTCATCTTAGGTCATGGATGGAGACTTCTACAGCCATTGTAGGTCAACGGGGAGAGACTACAGTCATCTTAGGTTCATGGAGGGATACTAAGCAGAAGTGGAGAATTTAAAGGGCAAAAGAACACCATTGATGAGATATAGAACAAGCGGAACAAACCGCCTCTTTACAAAGGACTGAAGCTGGGTTTCAGCACCTGTGTGGAGGTCCTCAGATGTTAGGGCCACACCTAGGAAAAACAGCCAATCAGGAGCTTCTGGAAGTGCTGGCATTCACATGTACCCCATTGGGTCAAGGCCCAACCAACACTGGATGTTCGAAAACACTGTCAGTCTTTTCTCAGAGTCAAGCACCAATCTGAGGAGCAGGTAGTGTTAGGAGTGTCCTCCTCCTCACCCTTGCTCTGCCACCCACAGGAAGCCCGTGTGCACTAACTGTCCCTACAAAGAAGCAGCAGTCTGAAGATCCTTTGCAAGGTGTGTCGAAGCTGATACCAACTTTAGATGCTGAGGGAGTCCCAAGGATGGGGTGGGCTGAGAAGTTGACTGGGGAGGCCACTAACGAGGAGCCTTTGCTCAATCATGTCCAGCCTCAGCCTGGTGACTGTAGATGGCAGGACCATCTCTATCTCATGGTGTTGGAGCACATCCTGGTGTACCACCTGCTTGCCTCCCCAGTTCTGGAGCACCAGTTTACACTGGGAAGGACCACTGCAGGTTGGAAATAACATTGAAGGATCATCACATTGCTTGCCCCCCACCCCAAACTGCAAAATAGTACACAAACCAGTTTGACATCAGCCAAAGTACAGAGATAAATGGTGCCTCACAGTGTCTTCCCAGAGGGCACCATGCTAGTACCTGTGACACTAGGGAGCCCAATGCTGGTATAGCAGAAAAAAAGGCTTTTTGTTGCTTTTTTAATGAATTGTTCCATCTGCACCTGCTCTCTGGCTGGCTCTAAACTATACAAACTCAAGTTTCTCTTTTCAGTGGCTGTGCTTGTGAGGTGCCCATGTAACAGGGCACTCCACTCCCAGCTCAACAGCCTACAGGTCTGTCCTGCAGCAGGTACAGGATCTCCCCACCCCCAATCCCAATATATACTCAGGATGAGAACCTTTGGTTTCATTACACATGGCTCTGCTCTTTACAGATAGAGTACAACAAAATTAGTCACTTTTATTTCAAAGAAACAGTACAAACAAGTGTGCAAAATTAAGTTCCATGATTAAATACACATAAGGTAACATGCATACTTGACATCAAACCCACAGTTAGCTGATTACAGGGGCATGAAGGAAACTGGCAGAACTGAGAACCTGCTGCTGAGCACAATTTAAATGTTTGCAACCTGAAATCAAAACCGCAAAACTGAGCTTCTTAGAAGATACATAAAAAAAAAAAAAAAAAAAAAAAAAAAAAAAAAAAAAAACTAAACATATACCTCAAGTGGCACAGAAACATGGAACCTGCAGCCTGTGTCAGTACCAGGATGTGCCTGCCATCCCCAATGCTAGTGTGTGTTCCTGTGGATGCCAGGAGAGATGAGACAGAGTAGACGCCACAGGCCAAGGCAATTCCCTCCACACAACTGGTAGCTACAGGCATGTGGACACTGCACTGAGAAGGCCCCTAAGTTAAGTAATGCTTTCTTCTGGAGTGCTTTTTAAAGTCTATGTGTTACTTTGTTCCCTAAAGGTAATGGGAAGTTCTGTTTTAACCCAAACTAAACCAGGAGACCCTGCCTCCCTTGCAGCCTGAGGACTGTGCCTCAAGTGGGTGCCACAAGCACGCTGCTATATGGCAGGTCTGGGGTGTGACTCATTCTAATGGCCCAACAAGGTCAGAACACCTTACAGTGTGTGCTCTGAACAGTGCTTCTCGGGTGCGGCAGAAGGTACTCCACTGGACAAGTTGCTAGTATCACTCTATTAGAATTTTATAGGATGTGAGCCCTGACACACCAATTCCTACAAGCTTTTACTGACTCTTGCTTGGATAGTCCCTAGGACTGCAGGGAGTCTCCTGGCATGAAGGTATGGTGGTGCCACTAACGCTAACATCACAGTTGAACTAAAGGGCAGTGGCCAGCAAGGGCACAAGATGCCCAAAGCCACGGAGTGTCTGCAGAACCATGAGGATGATTCATTTTGATATGGGAATGAGAAGCCTTGCTCAGGAAGGCAGACAACCGTGTATGGCTTCGAGACCAAGGTCCTCCAGGGAGTCGAGCCCCTCACCCACAGGCCTGGGGCACTGGCACCAGCCCCAGGAATCCACAGGGCGTCGGGTGGTGGCATCAGCTGCACTCATAGGCAGAGTCACAGCTTGTCATCGGTCATCTCCAGGAACTGTGCACACACGTCCCGGACACACTCGCCCTTGGGACTGAACAGGAACTTGTAGTAGCTGCCGTCTGCACAGATAGCTGGGAGAGGAGACATCATCAATACATGATTGTTACCTCCCACAACCAAAATCAAATGAGCCTCAAGAATCCTGAGCACAACTAGTCAAGAGTTATAGCCTGCCAGGGTACATGCTCACACAATGAGTGTTGGCTACAGGCAACCCTCTTAGGCCATCTTCACAATGCCCACATCTGCCCTCAAAGCATTCCTGGGAACCTGGAAGGTACTAATAGCACCTTGAATGCTTGAAGGCTTTCAGCAGAACCCACCCCAGTCACAGGAGGAAGAAAGGGAACTTTGGGAGTTGGTGCAGCCTGGACTGCATGCTGAGGCCTCCCACACAGCATGGACCACTTCACTTACCAATGACTGCATTGGGCTCTGTTCCAAAGGCACAGATGCATGGAGAGCCTGATGGAACCTGAAACTTGGAGAAGCTCCACTTGGAGCTAAAGTATTTTGGAAGGAAACTGGCAGATGCTAAGCTGTAAGGACAAGAAGAAAAGAGGCTTAACTTTCACAAAGATAATGACACAGAAGTTACTAGCCTAATTCCCAAATGCTGCTGAAAATTCTAAAATTCTTTTACAGTTTAGGACTGTGGATGCCTGGTTAGAAGAGGGCACCCGATCCCCTGGGAATGGAGTTACAGTTGTAAACTGCCATGTGGGTGCAGCTGAACCAGGGCTCCCTGGTTCAGGGAGTCAGTGCTCTTAACTGATGAGCCATCTCCCTCAGCACTGGACTGAGTGATCTCATTTCTTACATAAAAATTCACAGTCTTGTAGTAAGACAGCATGGCTGTCAGCACAGGAAGGGGCACAGGGCTCTCCTGCCATCAGATTAACCATCTAAGAGCATGGCAACATTCAGGAGCCAACTGCCCAGAACCAAGTGTCAAAGACCCTGACAATGATGGGGCCTTAGATGAGTGGGATAGTGGGTTCAGGATCAATCTACATTCAGTTTTAAACCCCACAAACTCAAAATCAATGAGATCTGAAAGAGTTCAACCAAAACTGACATTAGATTTGTCCTTGTAGGAAACACGGGGAATCATCTAATTCTGGGCTGTTCCCCACCACAGCACTCCCTAAAACCCACCTAGACTGTTTATTCCTTTTTGGATCTTCAGCTGCAAAAATGTGCACAGTGCCGTGATCACTGGACACACAGATGAGAGAAGCGTCCTGATTGAAGTTGATGCTGCAGAGAAACCAGACAGGGCTTGAGTCTGTGCAGATGCAGAGAACCACACACAATGCACCAGCCCACACCCCAGGTCTCAGCAGTGCCCCATCAAAAGCGGTGACTTTAAGCATCCACCATGGAACCAGGAGCCAAGCCAAAAGTCCCAGGAACAAGCTGCTCACCAGTGCCCAATAGGCACAACTGCTGATGCCTGTGGGGCTTCCTGAGGTGACCTCTATGCCAGCTTCAGGGGCGTCAGGTGAAAGGCATACATTGCCTGGAGGAAGTGGCTACCAAGTGTGTTGCAGCAGTCAACGGCCACATGCATTCTGTACTGACAGCAGGCACGCAGAAGTGTGTGCTACACCCAAGGGCCAGGGCACACAGGTTAATCTCCTAAATTTGGCTCAATAACCACGATCAGGAGTGGCCAAGCTCTTGCTGTAGCCATGATATGAAATCCTACCTGGCTGGGCTTTAGCACTACATACACTGGGGGACCTCACAGATGAAGTACTCACTCTCAAAACCAGCTGGCCACAATAATTATACACAAACCAGTAAGGCCTCTGTCATAAAATGGGAAGTTAGTACTACAGTTGGAATAGAGGGGAGATGGGGAAAATCCAGCAAACATATCCATCCATGCTGCAACAGGCGAGGGAAGGCCCAAAATGTTTCATCTTTGTGGACACTTCCCATAATAAAAAGAACTGGAACCCAATAACCTAACAGCTCAGCCACACTCTCCCACCTTTGCCATCACCCTGGCTTTACTACTCCCAGGGGGAAGTCCTTACCAATAGATATTAGCTGCTTGAGATCCTCTTCGTAGCTCCTGGATTAAATGCCCTGATGAAGTATCAAATATTCTTATAAGGGTCCCCTTTGAAAAACAGTGAAGTGTTTCATTATCAACAATTTATAACTCTTTCATTAGTCTGAAACGATTCATATTAAGACTCTTGGCCCCAACAGCCCTTTCTTGACTCATCCATATCACCTAAAATTCAGCATGTCTCCTGTCTGCTAACTCAGGGACAGCATAGGAGGAGTCAGAAGACCACTTCCTTGTGGGGTGGCCTTGACTGATCCTTGCCTGCTGCAGGTCCTCACTCAAAGACCCGTTACTTGCTAGAGCAGTGTCATTCCCGACAGGCATCAAGAAGAGGATCATGTCCTCCTTCTCAGGGAACGAGGCAGCGCAGAATAAAAGGCAGAACATCATCCATACCACTGCATCAACCTCTCTGAGGAAGAGGTATGCTTAAAAGACTCCAAACTTTTTAAACCCATCTGCCAACCCCATCCCTGGAGATGTAGCAGGGTCCCTGTGCAGAACCAGAAGGGAAACTCAGCTGACTGGACTGCTAGACAATGTCCTAAACAACCCTGAAATGTACTCACTGGACAAGGTTTCTCTGTGTAACAGTTGTGGCTGTCCCAGAACTCTTAGTAGACCAGGCTGGCCTTGAACTCATAGAAATCCACTTGCCAGACTGGAGAGAGGGCTCAGTGGTTGAGAACTCTGCTGGTTCAATTCCCAGCACCCACATGGCAGCTAACAACTGTCTGTACTCCAGGATCTAACACCCTCACACAGACATTCAGGCAGGCAAAACACTAATGCACATAAAATAAATTATGGGTTTTCTTTTTTGTTTGTTTGTTTTTTTTAAAGGAAATCCACCTGCCTCTGCCTCTCAAGTGCTGGGATTAAAGGTATGCACCACTATTACCTGGCTATATTTACTGAATATTTGTATCCATAAAAAGGCTGGAGCTGGGCATGATGGCATTGAAGACATCAAATTCACAGCTTGGCAGGGTTATACTTAGTAAGATTCTTTCTCCAGGGATGTAGAGACAGAGGGATCCCTAGTGTCCACTAGTTGGTCAGCACAGCTTACTTGGTGAGTTCCAGGCCGGTAACAGAGTATCTCAAAAACAAGGTTATATGAAAACCATCTAAAGTTGACCTCTAGACATGCTTGTGCACATGATCACCTACACACACCAATAAGGTGTAGGGAATTGAAACTGGAGAATCTAAGGATAAAAGGATTTGAGAAAAAAAAAAAAAAAAAAAGCTTTGCCAGGTGAGGCCATCCTACCCACACCAGCCTCTGTTTTATTTATTTACTTGCTTACTTATTTACTTATCCATTCATCTAGTATTCATTCACGTACTAATTTTTAGGGGCAGGGTCATATACATACTGACTGGCCAAGAATTAATTCTCTTATCTCTACCTCCTAAGTACTAGAATTATAGGTATGCATCATTATGTCCACCTTTTTGGTTTTGTAGTTCTCACTGGCTAGCCTGGAGATTAAGGCACGTGCCACCACTACACCAGGCTTTTTTCTTTTTAGAGATGACATCTCACTGTGTACCCCAGGCTAGCCTAGAACTTTTAAAATCTTACTGCCTCAGCCTTTCAACTGAGTGATGAGAGATAATAGTGTCTGCAAACTTGTATGCTTGGCATTTTTCTTCTGTCTCCTTTACTATTTGTTTTTGAGACATGGTCTCACTATGTAACGACTGACCTGAAGCTTGCTATATATATAGACCAGGCTGACCTTGAGCTTCTTCTTTCCTTTTGGTTTTCTGAGACAAAGTCCCTCTGTGTAGCCCTGGCTGTCCTCTGCCTTCCAAGTGCTGAGATTAAAGGTGTGAGCCACCACTGCCACCACCACCTGGCAACCTGGATCTTAAGATCCACCTGCCTCTGCCTCCCAGTGGTGGGAGTACAGGTGTGCGACACCATGGCTAATGTAGTTCTAGAGATCACATTCAAGAATTTATGAAAAAAGGAAAGAACTTATATATGGTTAGGCAAGCACCTAACCATCCCCAGCTGAGAAAATCCTATTTCTAAATTTATATAAAATTGTACTTGTCTAGGTAGCCTGTAATCCCAGCCCTTAGGAGGCTGAGGCAGAAGAATCACAAATTCTGGGTCACTGTGGGCTACCTATAGTTTCTGAACTTTACCCTGATCATCAATATTTGCAGATACCTAGGCCTTCTGGTAACCAGGACAGAAGAAGTAAGACTTGCTTAACTCTGCTATATGTCCACATACACACTAACCACTGCTGTCTTTCAGCAATAGCTCAGGCAACAACTAGCTGGGAAAAGCATAACTGCAACCTGCTCTGCCAGTAAGCTGAATCCACTAATAGATACACTGCTGCTTGTGGGCTCAACCTAATTAATAATTTCCTACAAAGTGATACTGGGCATATTGTCCTAAGTGGAAACCATAGTAAAAACATACCAATTCTCAGAGGCCTGTGCAATGGTTAGCAGATAAGGTACTTGTAGTTCAATGAACACATGATACACGAAGAGAACCAACACCATAAAATTACACCTCACTCCCTACCCCATGCCCCCCCACACACAAATAATCTAAAAATAGGTATAAATTTCTGGTTTTCACTTCAGACAAAATAAAGGATAACATGGTTACAGGGGTTTGAATAAGCAAGGTTCCCCAGCAGGCTCAAATGTCTCAACACTCAGCCCTCAGGTGCTGTTACTGTTTGAGGAGGAGGAGATACAACTTTGCTGGAGGACATGCAGCACTGGAGGCAACTTTGAAAACCCACTGCCTACCCTCATTTGCAGTGTGTTCTCTCTGCTTCATGGTTTCAGCTGAAGACTGATATGATCTCTCAGCTGCCTGATCTAACTGTCTGCTGCCGGGCTTCTCCTGTTATTATGGATTCCTCCTCTGCAAGTGTTAAGTCAAAATAAACTCTTCCATGGTAGATTTTGGTCATGGTGTTTAATCACAGAAACAAAAGATAACTTAAGGTTGTGGTAATTCAATGAGGAAATATTCTTAGGCAGGTTAGAAAGACTCTTCTAAAGTGTCATCAGACAACCAAGACATAAGGCAGCCCTAAGTGGCCTTGAGATTACTATCCTGTCTGTCTCAGTCTTCTGAGGGCTGGTATCACAGACACATGCCACCACACTCAGGTTAGCATTCTAACTTCATAAAGCAGACAATGTGTGAAGGCCTAGATCCCTTCCCATAATTAGATCAGACTAGCATGGATGGCCTGCACTTACTTTTTCAGAGGCAGTTGCAATTCTTGTTCCCTGCAGGTTGAGAGCAATACAGCTCAGGACACCCTCATGTGCAGGAATGTCCACTGGTGGCTTCTCGGTGCTGGCCAGGTCCACAAGCTGTACATGGCCGGTGTGAGTGCCGGGGAAGGCGAGAAGGGAGTTGTTACTGTTGGGACACAGGACACAGAGGCCTATGCAGAGACACAGAAAACTGGTTGGGAGATGATGACATTGGCCAAGGCCTGTTTCCTCACAACCCAAACCTACTTTGGACCCTCAAGTCCTCAGTCACCAGTTAACTATTTGTGGTGTGCATTTACCTTGGAATCATAGTCCCTAGGAAGAATATCAGGGCTGACAAAGCTGCTGCCCATGAGACCTTCTTATAACTGGGAACATTTGCTGAACAATTTACTAATGAATAGATTTATCAGGTGTGTCGTCCATAAAAATTACAAAATTTAAGAACTACTCCATTAGCAGTAACGCAATGGGGGGGGGGTCAATCTAGAAACAGATGTACGCAGACACACTTCCCAGAGCCATGACTAGAAAAGCCAGCTTTGCCTGTGTCTTCCACAGTATTCAAAGACATAGCTAAAAACCTCACCACACAAGCAGACAGGGAGAGATTGATGTTACATAATTTTAAGATAAATTTTAAAAGTTTCAGCAATAATGGAAGAATGGTACTGGCATGTGGATCACTGGAAAAGAATGGTGAGTCCAAAAGACCTTTGATTCTCACTGATCAAAACAAAAGGATCCAAGTCATGTCACACAGCAGACAAAAAACCTGTATGAAGACACTGGTTCTCAGCAGGGTGTGGTAAAGCACAGCATCTGTGAACTCCCAGCACTCGGGAAGCTGAGGCAGGAGGATTGTGAGTTGGAGGCTAGCCTCGGCTATAAGACCCTGTCTCAATAAACAAAAGTATTCAGAGAGTTGAACATGTACTTCTTGGCTGGTGTGTCAGTTACTCTGGAAGCTGAGTCAGGAGCATCTGAGTCCTGAAGTTCAAGATTGGCCTGAGCAACCTAGCAGACTTCATTCAAAAGAAAAAGGAAAGAGAAAAGAGAGAGGAAAGAAAAAGGAAAAAAAAATGAAGTGAAAGATGGGGGGTGAATAATGTAATTTATAGCACAATATAACTAGAAGGGAAAAATTACAACTTTTGTGACAGTATGAGGATGACAATCTAATACACAAGTCAGTCAGTCTATAAACAGTCCACTCCAAAGAAAAGAAGAGAAGGCCAGAGCTCAGTGGCTCCCTGTGTGTTAGCCAGTAGCTTAAAATTGCTGAGGCGGCAGTTAGCAGAGGAAGAACCCCCAGACTATGGTAAGGGTATGGCTTCAGAATTCTCATCCAGGATGCTAAGGGAGCTCAGGCAGGCAGGGAGGCAAAGTGTGCCACAATGTGCACAGGACAGACCCCCCCCCCCCCAAGTCCCACTGCTCAGATAAGGACCCACTGGGGACAGGGTGCCCAGGCCTCATCTTTATCCCCACATGGACCAATTTCCCATGCTGCTCTTTCTCTCCAGCTCTCACCTTTTGGGTTATAGCAGGTTTCAAAGACGTGCAACTGATGGGGATTGTGTGTGAATGTGAACACCTTAATCATGGAGTCCAAAACCACCACAATTCTGGAAAGAAAAACGCAATCAGAGTTCCTCTCCTCAAAGTAAAATAAGCATTCTGTGATTTCTGTTCCCGTCTTGAAACTCAGAAACACAGGAAATACCTCATACAAAAAGGACTGGGCTTTTTTATTGTCTTGTTTTCTTTTTGTTAGGGCCTCACTTTGTAGCTCAGCTAGCTTTAGCCTCAAACTTGCAGTGGTCCTCTTGCCTCTGACTCCTGAGTGCTGGGATTGTAAGTGTATACCAACACACCTGGCTTTGTTTTGTTTTGTTTTGTTTTGTTTTGAGATAGGGTCTCACATAGCCCAAACTGGCCCTGAGTTTGTTTCACACCCGAAGGTGCCTGGAACTCATTATTTATTCTCTTGCCTTCGTTCCCCAAGAGCTGGGATTATAGGTGTGCACCATCATTCCTGTTGGAAACAGGTCCCAGTGTGGCCAAGAAGACCAAAGCATAATGGCTGAGCCTGGCTGAGTGGGCCTACCTATCACCTTTCAAACGTCAGAGAAACTTGTGAGCTCAGAGAAACATCATGACCAGACTAGAGCATTAGAAAGGTGAGACATATCACAGAATTACAATCTCATACTCTTAAAACATTTTTGTGATTCGGGAAATTATGCCAGGAGTAGTGGCACATGCCTGGGAAGCTAAGGCAGAATGGCAAGACTTTAGGGCCAGCTTGGGCTACCTAGTAAAACCCCGATTCAACAAACCAAAACAAAAACAGAACAAAATATCACCCCAAAAGTTTCCAAGTAGAAAACTATTAGTTTAGGTCAAGTATTTGCATTATTAAGGCCTCTAAGCAGTGCCGTAACAAGCTTAAGAATGATGCTGAGGAACAGCTCCTCTATACACTTAACTTCCAGAGTAGTTTTTTCCTCCACAGCTGACATACAGGGAAATCTAAAGAACATGATACATAAATCACACCAAATTCAACCCAAGTGATGAAGCTCTTCTTTCTCTTGGTCAACATGCTAACAGAGCGAGCTCTGTAAGGCAATGCTGGGCAGGCAGGGCCTGCTACTTTCAGCAGGTAACACTCAACAACTAGATCAGCTTCCAAGTTCTCCTCGACTTTCAAAAGATAGCAATTGGCCAGGCCTGCCTGACACTAAGGTGGTGGCTTCACATGCAGACCTGGGGACATCCCCAGGCCCACCCAGAACATCCCTCTGAAGAATCTAGAAGGCAATTAAATTTCCAGCTTTCCTCAGGGCAGAAAAAATAAAAAACTCTTCTGCTATGGGTCAGAAGCTACAATTACTGACATTTTAATAAACTGCTCCACAGAAAATTACTGTAACTGTTTTTATAGAAATGAAAGCAAAAGGAAAGCAACACTGAACTCACCTATCTCTCCGCAACTTGACAGCTTTGACTTCTGTGGAGAACTCTATCTCAATGACTGTCTTCTTCTTCAGATCATCCCAGATCATCACTGAAACACCAGGAGAGTGCATGTGGTGTCACAGGGAGCTCACAGTGCTGAACTGCAGATAGCACCTGACACATGAGGCCAAACATGCCCAGATGTACCTGGCAATGGTGGGGTACAGCCAGGCTTATAAGGCTAAGTGGAGTTTACCCTCAGAACCCTCTCCTACTCACTTGCACGCCATCCCTATGCAACAGACACAAGTACAAGCAACCTGTCTTTCACACTCAAGGACAGCTTCCCCTGACTGAGCTAAAAAGCAAGCCTCACTATAGTTACCTAGTGTTTAAAAGCCAGAGAGAAGCCTTGTCAAAAATGAAAAGTAGGGCAGAAGAGACAGATGGCTTGATGGTTACGAGTGCTTTCTGCTCTTCCAGAGAACTCTAGTTCAGTTCTGAGCACCCATGTCTGGCAGCTCACCTGTAACTCCAGTGTCCTTTTCTGGCCTCCGCTGGCACCCACAAACATGGTGTACACTCAAACACACATGTACGTAAGCAGATTTTAAAAAATTGGCTGGGAAGATAGCTCACTGTTGAGTATTGCCTAGCATGCTTTTTGAGGATCTAGGTTCAGTTCCTAGCACCATAAAGAAAAGGGGAGACTAGGGGAGAAAGTGGGGGAAGGAAGAAGCAGGTGGCAAAGGTCTTTGCACTAAGTTCGATAACCTGAGTTCAATACCTGGAACCCACATGGTGAAAATAGAACCAATTTCTGAAACTTTTCTCTCCCCTCCATGCATAAATAAATAATAATTTCAAAAATAATGATAGTTGGGAATATAGGACGTAGGTTCAACTCACAGTAGCACAAAGGAAAGGGGAGGGGTCAAGATTTCCAACTCATAACTACACTACTTTTCTCTTTCATCTCTCTGCTCCTGATTCCAAAACAAAGGCAGAACTGCAGGGCCAACCTCCCCTGAGTGCTGACTCTATTTCCCACGTTCACTGAGCTCCACTGAGGATGGTAAGCCTGGGACCCTTTGCACATGGGCCCCTTACTTTTCTTCTGGGTACTAGTAATAGAGCCAAGGCCTCAAGACACCCTGAGCTGACCCCACCTCAGTCCTCCACTTTCTACTTGCATCAGACTGAGCTATTCCAATTCTCTATCAGGCACTGGCTCCTCCCCTTTCTATCGGTATCAGACGGAGCTATTCCAATTCTCTACCAGGCACTGGCTCCTCCCCTTTCTATCGGTATCAGACGGAGCTATTCCAATTCTCTACCAGGCACTGGCTCCTCCCCTTTCTATCGGTATCAGACGGAGCTATTCCAATTCTCTACCAGGCACTGGCTCCTCCCCTTTCTATCGGTATCAGACGGAGCTATTCCAATTCTCTACCAGGCACTGGCTCCTCCCCTTTCTACCGGCATCAGACTGAGCTATTCCAATTCTCTACCAGGCACAGGCCCTGGCTTACCCTCCCAGCACACCCTCAACTGACACTTAGTCACCACCATGCCCAAGGGATGTCCCTCTTCCTTCTCAAGCAACCTTCCATCTTCCCTTCTCTCCCAGTCTTTTCTCCTCAAGCTTTCTTCCTTTCAGATGAGATCAGTTGTGCCCACTTCCTCCTCCTAACAAAAGCTAGGTTAAGCTCTACAGTGGAAAGAAAAGCTCTCCGCCCCTCCTCATTTTAGGAGGGCCACACCTCTCTCTCAACTGTAACTTCCTCCGACATATCCACACCAATACAGTAACCCATTCATCCACACCCAACCTGGCTCCTTGTTCTGTGTGAACAATGTGTTAATGTCTCTAGGGATCCATGGCTTTCAGCAGGGGAAAAACCTTTCCCAGACTTTGCTTTACCCTGAATCATGACTTACACCACACCAACCGACAGGTGAAGTACACCCCGCTCATTGACGGTTCACTCTCAACCTTCCCATCCATCTACTTTCTGGAAGCTTCTTCCCCAGTACTTTTCAACACCTCAAATGACTACTTAGAGGTGCTCTCATGAGGTTTCAGACATAGGCTGTTCTACCAAGTTCAGAACACCACTACATACATGACAAGATTTTTAAAGACAGGACTACTATACCTTTGTTGGGAGGATATTTCGGCTTCTTTCCACCACCAACTAAAGCTAAATAGTTACAGCGAAATAACATTTCCACGTGGCCAACTCCTCCTTCTAAAAATTCTGAAATGATAATTTAAAAAGTTAAAAAATATTAACAAATGGGAAAAAGTGAAAACATAACACTCAGCACTCCATTATTTAATTTTTTACTTATTTTTGAGCCAGGGTCTCACTATGATAGCCCTGGCTTTTAAGCCTTGCTTAACTTACAGAGATCTACCTTCTGAGCACTAAGACTAAAAATATGTACCACTATACCTGACCTAGCTAGCATTTCATTCTTACATTATTTTATGTGTAGGGTTGCTTTGCCTGCATGTGTCTCTGTGTACCATGTATGTGCCTGATGCCTGATGTGCAGAGGCTAGAAGAGGGTGTAAGAAATCCTGGAACTGGAATCATAGACTGTTGTGAGCTGCCTGCCACGTGGTGCTGAGAATCAATCCTAGGTCCTCAGAAGGACAGCAAGTATTCCTGGTGGCTAAGCCATCCCTCCAGCCCCTAGCATTTTAGTCTTGATCACCAATCTGTAACCTAACACCATCAGAAGTAGAAAAGCTGACTTGACATAGCAGGCAGACTCAGAATATAAGCAGGAAACTGCTCTCTTCCTCCTCTCTTCTCTGTGGAGCCGCCATATGATCCCGGCAAGATAAGTCTTTATAAAATATATAGATTAATAGTTATGGTTGATAATTAAGACCCAGCTAGCAGATAAATCCTAGTCATTTGCCAGCAGCATTTTAACTAATATAAGTCTCCCTGTGTTATTTGGGGTCCTAACATGGCGGTGGGTGGAACGAGGGCAGTTGGCAACAAGACTTGTTACACTGACTACCTTAGAAAACAAGTGGTATGCTGTTCTGACTTCTCTCAAGTTTGTTACCGTAAGCTCTCTCTTGAGAGCTAAGCGCAAACTCCCTGAGAAACAAATTCAGTAAAAATGGAAAAATACCTAAATACACACACACACATTAAAAAAAATACAGGCAGCTCTGGCTGCCCTGGACCTCACTATGTAGATCAGACTAGGCTAGTACTCAGAGACCCTCCCGACTTCACCTCCTGAATGCTGGGATTAAAGACATGCATTAGCACACCCAGCTTCCAAATTCATATTTTAAGATACAACAAGATCTATAGATGGAGACCAAGCAGTTGTGCTGTACACCTGTAATCTCAGTACTCAGGAGGCCAAGGCAGGAAGATTAAGAACACAAGATGGCTTAGTTGGTAAAGCATGACAATCTGAGTTTGAGCTCCAGATCCTATATAAACATAGGAGAGAACAGAACCTACAAAACCTTCCTGACTTCAACATGTGCACTGTGACATGCAGGCATGCAAAAAAGAGCACAAAGCTAGCTTGTACAATATACAAAGACTGTCAGTACATGTGTATGACGCAACACACTACACAGTGGCATTATTGCCGAATCACAGTGATCTTAATTTTAGTTTTGATGTCTGTACAACTAGTTTGATGTCAACTTGACATAAACTGGAATAATCTAAGAGGAGGGAACCTCAACTGAGACAATGCCTCCATATGATATGGCTGTAGGTGGCCTGTAGAGGAGCTGCTGCTGCTGCTGCTTCTGCTTCTTCTATTATTATTATTGTTTTTTAATTTAACTTTTTTATTGACTCTTTGGGAGTTTCACATCATTCACTCCAATTTCGCTCACTATCCAGCCCCCCTCATACTGCTGCACCCCACAAAAGAAAACAAAGCAAGCAAGCAAGCAAGCAAACAAAAGCAAAAACAAACAAACAAACAAAAAACAAACCAAAACAACAACAGAAAAAAAAATCTCTTTGCTTCTTCTTTTCTGCCTCTCCAACACCTCTTCATTGGTCCTGGTGGCACTAGAGGCTGCAGTATGCCAAATAGTATACCTCTTGGTCCCATCAGCTTCACTGGCAAATGTTGACGGCAATGAGTCACTGATCTGGTTTAAGGCCTATGGCTTCTGGTATACCATCCTCACTGGATCCTCACCAGAACTCCTCTGGGATATCCTGTGGCCACCCTGAGTCTTGGAGATCTTGTTCCACAGGACCAGTCCTTTCATGAGCTCCAGCAGGTCCTAGATGGGTTAGATGCTAGGGTGGGTCAACCCAAAGCCTGACTGTGGGCCTTCGTGGTAACCAAGCTGGTCTGGGCCACTGAGGCCATAATCTCTCTCACTGTAGTGTCCAGCAAGAGGCAACGCCAACAAAAGTGTGGCTGACTCAGCATGATCCTCTGACTTCTTCTCAAATGGTTCCTAAGGTCTCCTGAGGTGACACAGGCCACAAACATCAACCAGCTGTAGCTGGACCACAAACCAAGACAAGCAGCCTAGGCTTGGTTGTCACCGTGGCCCAAGGTGGTGGCAAAGGCTCCCAGATCAGTATGGCCCCAGCAGCAGAGTGGCTTGTGGACCCAAACATGGACCCAGGAGGCGGCCCAGCACACTGGAATCAGCATGGCACTCAGGAGTCACAGACATCAACAGAGACCCTGGTTACTGTAGGACCAGGGACCTAGACATGGCCCTTGGCAGCAGCCGGCGCGGACATCACCATAGCCCCAGGTGGCAAGCAGGCCTCCAACACCTGCCCACTCCACACCATCTTCACGTTTTCCTTTCTGCGTCTTCCCACGCACACGAACTATTCTGCTTCTCTCTCTCTCCCATTTCCCCACCACTATTTCCTTATCATAATAAGGCCCACACGCCTGGTGCCACATGTGAGCGGAAAGGCATTAGGTGGGGTTGGCAGTCTTCCCAATAGCTGGGACCTTGAGGACCCCAGCTAGCTAGAGCATTTTCTCTTTCTTTTCTTCACCCCACCCCCATGTTTGTTGTTTATTTGGTTTTCATTTTAGGAGCTTAGTTTCCCCCTGAGTTATTAATAAGAAGAGACTTGGCTAGAATTTGAATGCAGCAGTCAACCCTTAGTTTAGAGCATTTTCTTAATTAGTTATTGATGAGAAAGGTCCAGCCCATTGTGGGTGGGGCCATCCCTGGTTTGATGGTAACGAGTTCTATAAGAAAGCAGGCCGAGGAAGCCATGGGGAATAAACCAGTAAGCAGCAGCCTTCCCTGGCCTCTGCATCAGTCCCTGCCTCCTGGTTCCTGACCTAAGTTTCTGCCTTGGTTTCTCTCAATGGACAGTGTCTTGGGATATGTAAACTGAATGAGCACTTTCCTCTCCAAGGTGCTCTGGTTATGGTGTTTCATCATAGGAATAGAAGACAGTGTCTGGTTTTTGTTTGCTTGTTTTTAATTTGAGACAGGGTCTCACACTGCAGACCAGGCTGGCCTCAAACTCAGATCTGCCTGCTTCTGCCTCCAGAGTGCTGAGATAAAAAGCTTGCAACACCATACCCAGCCTGGTGCTTTATTAGACAGGGCTTCACTTTATAGCTGGAACTCAAAATTCTCCTGCTTCAGTCTCCAGAGCACGGAAATTACAGACATGTGCAGCTTCCTTTTACAGAGCAAAGATCATTCTGGAATCAGAAAATTTAAAACACAACCTTGGGGAGAAATAGTTATAATTGTTCATTTTCAATGGTTTATCCAAAATTTGTTTACTTATTGCTAGTGTTTTACTATTCCAGCAGGTTAAGGACCAGGAACTGCCAAATGTTTAAGACAGCTTAGCAGCTAAGAATACTGGCTGCTCTTTCCAAGAACCCAAGTTCAATTGCTAACACATGTAGCTCACAACTGCCTATAACTCCAGTTCCTGGGGACCCAATGCCCTCTTCTGAACCAGGCACGCAGGGCGTACATAGACATATACATGCAGGAAAAACACTCATTATACATAAAAAAATTTAATTAAAAAACAAACAAACAGCTGGGCATTAGTGGCACACGCCTCTAATCCTGGCACTCGGGAGGCAGAGGCAGGCAGATCTCTGTGAGTTCAAGGCCAGCCTGGTCTACAGAGTGAGTTCCAGGACAGGTTCCAAAGCGACACAGAGAAACCCTGCCTCGAAAAACAAACAAACAAACAAACAAAAAAAAAAAAGAAAGAAAAATCAAAACAAAAGAGATACTGAAATAAGCAGGAGGAATTATAATTTATCATCATAAGCAAAATTTTATTTTTCCAGAGTGTTTTGTTATGAAGACCTGTTTGGCCGTGAACTCACTCACAATCCTACCTCAGCTTCCTGAGTGCTAAGATCAGAATGCCAGGGTTACAGATACGTGCCATTATACCCAACTATTAATACTGTGTAAATGCTGGACATTTGAACAGTTTAAGAGTCCCATACACTGGAATTAAACCCATGATGTGATTTCTCATGTTTTACATCCAGCAAGGAAAGTGTCAAAGTGCCCTGCATTAAATATACCTTGTTCTTCTGAGCAGAGGCAACAGGGCTAAATAAGGATGTAAAACAGGACGAAGAGAAGCATGACAACGCACTAAACAATACAGCTTGGCCACACTTGTCCCCCGATACAGCCAGCACAAGGAACTGCTGTAAAGACACAGGTCTGACCCAGTTTACAAAAGGTCAGCCTCTGCTTGCTCTCTTCTCAGTTAAGGCCAAAGGACCATCACTCCCTTACCTTGTTTCTCTTTTTCTTTGAGTGGATCTGTGTTATAGACTCGGAATCCATTTTCCATTCCACATGCAAAACATCCTAAAGCAAGAAATATGAAAGAGACGTGTTAGCAGAAGAGGTCCAGGGAAGCCTCTGCCACATGTTCTAAGCCACTGCTACTTCAGATACACCAATCACCCATCTCCTTGGGATTGCCATTTAACATTCAGGTTCCCACTGGGGGCCTTCTCCAGCATTCCTGTGGACCAGGTTTCTGCTTAAACTCTCAGCAGACTCCCCTTCTGGGACACAGTGCTTGAGTATTGTGTCAGGTATAATGTTAGGCGATGTGCAGTTGTTAGACAGGATGGGCGCCATGAACTCTACACCAGGGAAGGAGACAAAAGGCTGCTCTTTTCCACCACCTGAGTAACCTCCTAGAAAGCAGTCCTAAGCCAGGTGGTGGTGGTGCACATCTTTAGGCCCAGTGCTGGGAGGCAAAGGCAGAGGCAGGCGGGTCTCTGAGTTCAAGGCCACCCTGGTCTACAGAGTGGGTTCCAGGGCAGTCAGGACTGTTATATAGAGAAACCCTGTCTCAAAAAACAAAACAAAACAAAAACAAAAACAAAACAAAAGAAAGCAGTCCTGAGGTCTCCCATGACTTCAATCTTACCTATGAATCATTCAAGACTCCTCAAACTCTCAAACTCCTGTCACAGCCACAGGCAGTGACTTAGGACATCCCAGCCACTGTCTCCAAATACTCAGATTGTCAAGGACCAAATAAAACGTACTGCTAGGAGCTAAAAAAGCACCAAGATCAGAAGATGACATGGTGATTCCTATAATCATGGCAACATAAAACTACGTTACTGAACATCAAACATGATGCTCAACTATTATTCAAATCAAGCTTCAGCAAAGAGAAGGAAAATCAAGCCCTCATAATTTTTTTTTCCCAATTCAATGTTCCAAAGCTTAGTTCCTCACAGCAGTTGCACAATAGGCAATGGGTTTAAAGGAATACAAAGGTCCTCTGAGGTGAGATCCTACCAGCTCTTGTCCAGCTCTTCACCTCTAGAGACAGAGGAAGACACACCTGCTGCCACACACCCCCACATCCCCAGAGATTTCTAAACCCACCAAGAGCAGCCATTCAGTGGTGGTACATGCCTTTTATTCCCAACACTTGGGAGGCAGATGCAGGAGGATCTCTATGTTTGAGGCCAGCCTGGTCTACTGAGTTCCGAACAGCCATGGCTACACATAGAAGCCCTGTCTCAAAAAAAAGACAAAGCAAAAACAAACAAAAAACAAAGCAGCAAAAAAGAGTAAATCTGAAGATCAGCATAAACAAAACCAAATTGTGACTGACTCAACCATTTGATGTGAGTTCATGCTGTAAGACTTAACTCCAGTCAGAAACTTTGGTGTTAAAGTCTATTTCTTTTTCAGATGGGGTCTCATATAGCCTAAGAGGACCTCGGAACTCTTGATCCTCTTGACTTCACTTCCCCAGTGCTGACATTACAGGACTGTACCACCACTCCCTGTTAAGGGACACACCAGTACAAACCCATAACCTCATGTAAGCTAGGCATGCACTTTATTAACTGAGCTACATCTCAGTGAAGGTCTGAGTAGGAATGGCCCCTATCAGCTCATATTTGAATATTTGTTGCCTAGTTGGTGAAACTGGGAAGGATTTGGAGATATGGCCTCATTAGACAAGGTGTGCCACTGGGGGCATGCTTTAAGATTCCAAAAGCTCATGCCATTCCCAGTCTGTCTGCTTCTTGCTTGTGGATCAGATGCAAGCTCTCAGCTACTGCTCCAGTGCCATGCCTGCCCGCTTACTGCCATGTTCTCTGCCATGACCGTCATGGAATATACCCTCTGAAACAGTAAGCTCCCAATAAACTCCTGGATAAGTGCTTTAGTCATGGTGTCTCATCAGGGCAATATAAAAGTATCTAAGACAATTGCCCAGCTCAAAAGCTATTTTCTTTCTTTCTATTTTTTGGAGACAGGGTTTCTCTGTGTAGCCCTAGCTGTCTTGGATCTTAGACCAAGCTAGCTTGAAACTCAAGACATCTGCTTGCTTCTGCCTCCCAAGTGCTGGGGTCAAAGGCATGCATCACCACACCTGGCTAATTTCTTAAGGAACTGTATAACTATTAATTCTGTAAAACATTTGATTACCAAAATTTATTTTTTTTAAAAAAATCACCGATTTTTTCTCCTGCTCTTGAAAATTTAGAAGGTCCAGACAGATGATGCCCATTGTAGATCTCACCCCTAACGTGTCAATGCTAACTGTGCTCCTTCACAGTCCCTACAATGAGACCAAGCCTAAGACGGCAATCACCAGGTCAGTCATCCCATGCTGCTCAAGGCCACCACACTTGAATCCAAGAACTGCCAGTGCCTCCAAAGGACAAGAGTAATTCTGCCCATCGTCAATCTAGAGGAAAGCTTTCTACACATGTCACAAGATAAACACATTTTCTACCCCTCACCTTGGTTTACCTTAGAAATGTCTCGCCTCAAGACCGCATAGCGCTTAAAACCAGACGATCTACCCGGTCCTATAGGTTTTGATTATACTGAATGCATCCCTCAAACCTCCTGAAATGAATAGCACATGAGCTCCAAATAAATATATACAGACTATCTACCTAAAATTACTGTTTGCACCCCCAACACTTCAAAATAAATTTTTTAAAATTATCTTGAGAGGGATGGTGTGAGTATGGTATAGGGAACGGAGGATCGTCATAGTTTAAGGCCAGCCATGGTGTACAAAGTGAGATTGTCTCAAAAACCAAAAGAGCTGGGTGTGATGGTGAACATCTTTAAGGTGTAGGAGGCTGATCTCTGTGAGTTCCAGGACTGCCAGAGATACACAGTTCAACTGTCTCAAAAATAAAAAGCTTAAAAAAAGACATCTTAGCCAGGGGCAGGAGAATCAGCCAGTAATCCCACCTACTCCAGAGGCTGTGGAGGGAGGAGCCCTTGGCTCAAGAAAAGCCTGATCAAGATCCTGTTCCAACAACAAAACTCAAGTTAAGTTCATTTTCTGAGACAGGAAATCATACATTTACTTAAGTTCCCACAAAATCTTATTATTATTATTTTTCTCCGAGACAGGGTTTGTCTGCGTAACCCTAGCTGTCTTAGCTGTAGACCAAGCTGGCCTTGAACTCAGAGAGATCCACAAGTCTCTGTCTCCCAAGTGATGGGATCAAACGCTTGCACAACCACTGCCTGGCTCTCAAAACCTTGTTTGTGAAAGCCAACATGTTAAAACTCTTAGAAGCCCAGAATATCAGCCTTTGCTCTTTTTTTCTTCCTTTGGGGAGATTTAGAAAAGGGAACTTAGCTGGGCGTAGTGCCACACTCCTTTAATCGTGGCTCTCTGGAGGCAGAGGCAGGCGGATCTGAGGCCAGCCTGCTCCACAGAGTGAGTTCCAGCATAGCCAGGGGAAAAAAAGAAAAAATAGAAGGAGGAACTTGACATCCGAGTCAGGGGTCACCATCCCCGCCAAGAGGGGTTCCTCCCCGAGAAGGCAGTGAGCCCTTTCACCCCACTCAGCAGAGGAAAACACGAGCGGGGAGAGCGGGGAGGGCGAGGAGGGCGAGGAGCACCGCGGGGACCCGCGTCAAGGCGCCAGCGCGCTCACAGGAGCCAGGACG